CATGAGGTAATTCCTTCTTTTTCTTAATAATTTCAAGACATCTTATAGCAGGAACTTTGTACAATATACTGTATGACTAGAGTGAATCTTCTGAAATGCTAAGCCTTGAAAGATATTGTTTTTGTTGATGAGGTTTAAACATTTTCCCGTCTAATATTGGCATTTATACGGACAGATCATAAATATAGCATGTCTTCAGGAAATGTTTAAAAAGTACTAGCACCTTTTTATATACGACAGTTTGAAGTCAAAGAAAAATCGCAAGGAAATGATGTATGAATATCCCATTTTCTCCATCGCAATCACTTGTAGATGTGATTATCCACTGTTTCAAATGGACAACAGAAGCCACAAAATCTCCTTTTGTTTTCCAAATTCGAAGAGGAGAAGTAGATATTAATTTATGAAATCTCTCCTTGTTGTAAGAAATTACTTTCTTGCAATGAGTTATACAGTCCAAAAGACATTAATTATATGACGTTGCCGTATGATAACAACATTCATTATTGAGGGAAGATAGTAGCGGAGATCCCAGTCTGAGGCCACTGTAGTAACAAGAGTTAAATCTTTAAATTTTCACTTTTTAGCACCACTAGTGTCAATGAACGGTTTCTACAAAGTTAACATGACATGTGACTCTAATATGTCCAACTCTCAGATATGGTTTTTATATTTGATTCATTCTGTGGTGTCTATAAGGCTCGTTACAAGGTTATAGCCGATGCAGGATGGACAATGAAAGTCAAATGGATTCTCAAAAACATTTTTCAAGACAAAGGACTGCATTGCAAAACAAGGGGTTTCGAATCATAGCTACAATTAGCAGCCGGATGGATGCTGTAAGGGGACCATGCTTAGGAGAATGCATTTTCAAGCTCCCGACCCCTATGTTCAATTACAAAATGGAAGATTATGTTGAAAGCACAAATATATAAGGGTAAAATTTGCACTCAGAATTACAGTATTTCATTCTTTTACATTGAAGTTGAAAATGTTTATCTATCTTCACTAGTGCTGTGTATATATGAGAGGAGGTGAAGTATATTGTATTCAAGCAAAAACTCAGGATGATAAATATTCATTATGGCATGTCGGATTTGATAGCACGGGATATGATTAATGAAAAGATGTTGTTCACTGTGTTTCTGTACTGTCCTGTATAGCAAATGTGACTTTAACAAATTTCGTCCCCAATGTACATACATGGAAGCTCCAGTCTACATTTGTGATGTTGTATTGTAACTTAATTATATGATAATGTATAGCATAGCACTATTGGTTAAGTTCAATGCTTGATATTTTGAATTTTCCATGCATTATGGTCTTTCTATAAATTGTGATTCTAATATTTATGATATCATTAAATTTTGCTCTTATAAACCTTGAGGACGTGTTTGGTAAGGAGACTTGGATGGTATTAGACAATATTAAAGAAAAGAAGCTAAAATCTTATTTATTACTACTATATTCAATACTACGTACGAAATATGCACAGGAACATTGGGTTGTTCTTAAAATTTTTTGAAGTTTCCGATTTATGCATCTCTTAGTTTTCTTACTATGCCAGTAAAGAAATACTTTAAGCTCGTTTGACCCCTTCATCATTTTTTAAAATTCATTTTTTTCGAACTCATTTTCAACTGTACATCCTCAACAAAGCAAATTTGTACTTAAATTCAAAAATTTTTCCTACTTTTTACCATACATTCTCCAAAAAAAATTCTTCTTAAAAAATCTCTATCAAACATGGGATAAGTTTGATGGAAACGATGCAAGGACACTAATGTAAATGTAATTGTACAACTATCATACTAACATGTTAGTGCTTTAAGCTTGCTTGCTTTTTTTTCCTGGTTTAACTTCTTTGTTAGGTAAAAATGTCAAAAATGTAGAAAGGTTTTAAGCAAGGAAAATGCTATTTGGGCCCCCTCTCTTGTGAGGGGGTTTGTTCACTGAGGTATCAACCTCGATGTACAAATAGCATGGTCCTTTAAGCAACGTGTAATCATTCTGCAAACAATTTCTTCAAAAAATTAAAAAGCATCTGTTCAATTGACATAGCTGAAGAATTAAATCATTGTCTTGAATTGATGGTTCTTTGCAAGAAAGTTGACAAGACTCTTTCCTTGAACTTTGTGATCTATGAATTGAATTGAATAAGAACAAATATGAACTTTTAAAATCTTTTTGATGCTATAAAGGCTTATTTAGCCGGCGCTTGACCTCCATTATTTCAAGTTATAATGACAGGTGTAGTAATTTTTTGATTTTTGTGTGATTAAAAAATAAGGAAATTTTTTTGAATTTACGTGTAATATTATTTTATTGAAAAATGTGTAGTTGATAAAAAAAGAGAAAAATGAACCATAATTTAATAAGACATAATGGATGCCAAATGGGATCTTATTGGATAAACTATCAATACATTCTCACAAAGTAAGCCTATAAACATAAGGGCAGATAATTTTTGCTAAGAATCAAACATATTTTATAATCTCCAGTAAATGCGTCTCGAATATCTCTACCCCAGTCCCATTGCTATCATATCGGATGACATCTCGTTTGCAAAATGTTCTAAAACAACACATTTTAGACCTGATTGAAGTCATATGAATGTTTGAAATAGATAAATTGTTCAAGTATCATCGTAATAAAGTACCTATGTAAATATGTAAATAATGTACATTGTATGTTTATAACTTTCGGCTTGTTACTTAATCCCATAGGTGTTAAAATCAGATCGAACCGACTAATCCTGTTTGAGAAACGGTGAAATTGATAGTGGTCTGATCCGATTGCTCTAATTTGTACATTCAACAAATGAATCGATTAGGTGGGACCGCTCAGCAAACGAACTTGGGCATTTGACATAAAATATTACAATCACAACCATTATGGCACCAAGAGAATTTATGTCATAATTGTGAGCGATTATATATTTATATTTAGAAAATTATTGTTTTTTATTTTAAAAAATAATTTTTAATAATATTATGGTCTAGCAATAAGTCAATGACTCACCAAAAGTATCACGAGCCAGTGACATGATGATTATTTTGGGTCGATGATTGGGCTAGTTAGGATTGGACATTGTCCAATTCGGTTCGATTCTAAGCCAACCTAAATTTTCGAATATTTAGTAAGTGAAATCGTCGAGTCTAAATTTAATTATGGAACCTGGAGCCGAAATCGAATTTTCGGGTATTATTAAATAGAACCGTCTGATTCAAATTTAATTATAGAACAGTTCGGGTTATGTTCCATTCATTTCTTGGGCTCTGTACAATAATTAATTTTTTTTAATATTTACAACAACGCTACTTAATTCAATTAATGATATGTTCAATTTTAGAACTTACAAAATAATGTAGTCAAATCCCATGATATATTTCACGCCTCTCTTTGTTGAGTTTTTCATAAATTTGGCTGTTAAAATCGTGGGAAAAGGAAGATAGAGAGTTCACAATAATAAAAAGAGGCTTCCAATTTGATTTCTCCATAACGGCGAAATGACACTATAGTAAAATAAGAGATTTTGGTAAAATTCAGATCAATTTGATTGGACTCAAGCTTGAAATTAGAAATATGAAAAATCATATTTTGGGTTTGGGCTAAATTAATTAGTTAGCAAATTTATTTAGAAAAAAATAAAATAATTTGGCTTATTTAAGATAAAAAACTTTTAAAAAAAATTAGGGAGATTCAATTCTTTTAAAAAATTGAGAACCGAACCAAACCCGTCGGTTCTCGATTCAGATATCCGTTCAGGTATTTAACTTAAAAAGAACCGTTAGATTCCATTCAGTTCAGTTCAAGAATTTTGTCCAGCCTTACCTCGNGCCCATGGAAAACAAAAAAAAAATTTCCACCCACCACCGCCACCAATTAGTCTAAATCCCCCATTAATCCTACCTAGAAAAAGTCAAAAACTTCTCCTACCCCACCCATATCTATAGCGAGTTAATTTTATTAATTACTTACAATCATCAAGTTTTACATACATCACAAAATCAATAATAATAATAAAAAAATAATGCACCATAATTACCAACAAAACAAGAAAAACAAGTGTAGTGAGGGAAAAGAAAAGCATGTCCGCGGTGAAGAAAAATGTTGCAGAAAAACAGATAAGTTTCACGTTTGTGGTGGAAACAAAATAAGGAATTAGTTTTAAAAATATTTAAAAGAATGTCTATTTATGTAATCTTACTTAGGGTTATATAAGTAGATAAAACATATATTTAAAATTATGATGTAGTAAACAAATTTTGCAGTAGTAATATAATTCCCCTACGTGGAATTATTCAAATTTTTTAGGTATCCTGTATACTTTAATACAAAAAAGAATAACTTATTTCTTCATAGAGAAGTGCTTGAAGTATAGGGAAATGGTTCACATGAGTCTTGGGGTCCACGCTATTTTTTTTTTAAAATACATATGGGGCCCACCCCCTTTTACAGGCCCCTGTGAACCATTTCCCTGTACATGGCATTATACTTCTTCATAAGACTAGTAATAAGAATTAGATCATGCTAGTTGTACAATCTCGATTGACAACCTCGGTTGACAACCACTCACATGGAAGGGTTCACTTTTTGATTGTTGAATTTTTTAAACACGCGAATTCTGTACACATGTGAGAGGGTGTCAACCGAGGTTGTACAAGTAGAATTATCTATAAGAATTTGTACTGAAGAACTAGGTGTGCGGTGTACCATACCTATTGGCTAAATTATAATGGTAATTAAATTTTAATTTTTCCTGCATATATATATATGATTCTCATTTGGAATAAAAAGGCTGACAAAAACGTGGCAGCTCATTAGAAGTAGTCTCAAAATAATTCCATGTACCTCACTATACACTAACATTTTTCAGTCTAATCTTCCAACGGATTTAACTGAATCCACACTGCACACACACTGCACACACTAACTACTTGTATATACACCACATTCCCGCCATAATACCCTGTTCATTTTCAAGAAACTTCCCCAAAATGCCTCCTTTCTCTCTCTACACCACCCTTCTCCTCCTCTGCGCCACCGCCTGCACCGCAACCACCACCGTCGGAGTCACCTACAACCCATCCATTCCAAACATTCCGCCGCCGGAAAAAGTGGCCTCCACCCTACAGTCCCTCCACATCCAGGCTGTCCACCTGCTGGACCCCACTCCAGCAGCTGTGCGAGTTTTTGCCTACACCAACATCTCCCTCCTCCTCTCTGTCCCCAATGACCTTGTCCCCTCCTTCGCCGTCAACCGCTCCGCTGCCACCCTCTGGCTCTATTCCCTTGTCCTCCCCTACCACCCCCGTACCCGCATTTCACTTATCTCCGTCGGCTCTGACGTAATCACAGCCGCCGCCTCCTCTGACGCTGCCTCCGACCCCACCACTACCCTCATTCCCGCAATGAACAACCTCCACCTCTCCCTCCGAGATCTTGGCATTCGCTCCATCCCCGTTTCCACCACCTTCTCCTTTATCAACGTCATGACGACGTCGTTTCCTCCATCCTTCGCCGAGTTCCAAGAACCCGTCAATTCTTTGATTATCACGCCATTGCTACAGTTCTTGGATGAAACCAACTCTTCATTCTTGATCAATTTGTTCCCATACGATGTCTACAGAATGAATTCCGAAATCCCAGTTGGGTATGCTTTGTTCCAAGAAAACCCATTCAATTTCCGGGATGACACCGTCACCGGAGTCCGCTATCGGAATTTATTCGACATGATGGTGGACGCTGTTATAGCTGCTATGGCAGTTTTGGGGAAAGAGAATATTCCAGTGATCGTGACAGAGACCGGGTGGCCAAACGAAGCCGAGTCTGAGGCCATAGGAAACTATGCCGAGATGTACTTAAAGGGGTTGCTGATGCATTTGAGGTCAGGAATGGGGACTCCATTGAAGAACGAAGGGGTTGCTGAGGCTTACATTTATCAATTGTTTGATGAAATTGATCTCAAAAATAGCAGTAACAAAAATGGTACTAGTATTTCAAGGAGTGGATTTGGAAGGCAGAGATGGGGAATTATGCATCCCAATATGACTTTGAAATACAGAATTGCTTTCTCAGGTTCACAAAGGATTCTTAGAAATGGCAACTACTTAGTGCAGATGCAGATGCTTCTTGCGTTGCTTGTTTTGGTGCCGATACACAGAATCTTCACTGCTTAGTCGTCCAACTCGAGCATTTTAACCTGTCACTGCCTTGTATGGGCGTCTGAGAATTGTATTGGCTACTCTTTCTAGTTTCTACTGTGTTAATTTTGATGTTATCTGATTCAGGTGCAGTAGTAACAAGTCAAGATTGTTGGTTTGATGTGTAATTGAGGATATGTTTAATCTGTCTGATGCAATCTGTTTTCACAAAGCTAGATTCATTTGTAGCTGGAGAATTATGATGGATTCTTGAAAGAATAATGAATACTAGACATTACTTTATTGCTTGAATTTCGATTCCAAAAATGGTAATGGCATAGTGATTTTTGCTTGGTGAATGCGCCTGAAAGTAAAAAAGAAACATAATCTAATTCAAATACAAAGGGTAGGATATTTCAAATAAATACACTATTTCCGTTTGTTCTTGTAATCACAGTACAATTTATGTTCATGCATTCTGAAATTCGGCTATTAACAGAACACTCGAATCCTTTAAGACTTGCTACAGCTGCAACAAAATGCAACAGCACTTTCTTTCTTGGTTGAAAAATCTCTGTATCACATAATCTTCAACCAATTTGCAATCCATATAAGCCAAGCATTATTAGACCAAATAGCAAAAAATGCATATTAAGTTCTAGCCTGAGTTAGCAATGAGAAAAACTTACTTCTAAGGAATATTTGCATGCATCCATTAAAAGCAGCAAGAATCACTCTCTTTTTGTACTAAGAAGTTTAGCAGACTTGTTTTTCCTTTGAAAAGAGCACCATTTGCATAAAATTCACTTCAAGCTGCACTAAGGTTGTAATAAAACTTCGCCTGTTTTGGATAATCACGCAGCCCTTCAAAAGTTAGAACCACCACTTCAGTAAAACCTTGTGTTGTCATGAAGATCTTTCCAAAAGAGAAGCTCTCGATAGAAATAATGGTAAATATTTCGGTCAAGTTAACATAACTATTATGCGATGAATATTTAGACTTGGTTATAACTTCGTCTCTATGAACCTTTAAATGCACAAGTATCAATCCTAGAATTATTGGGAGACAATAAAGACTCTCTCGACTACAGAGATCAATTTGTCTCTGAATATTTAAAGAGGTAAAACACAGTGTGTTACCACTGGATTATATCGAGTTGAAACGGCCAGAGAGAGATATCAGGTCCGGATCATCCTTGTACTTTTTCCAAGTGGCATCAAAATGTGAACCATTGGAACTTGGAATTCAACAAAAAAAAAAAAAAGTGTCAACAATGTCAAAGACATGGTACGGAGAAATTCCAACTGCAAAAATTGACCAAAAGTAAAAGGTAACTGAAAGAGAGTACTAAACTTACTGCTGTATAAGGGTCAGTATTTGAAGAACAAGTGATCTAATAGCTTCCCGATTAACCTTCAGTGCTGCCTCTTTGTACAGAGTGATAAGCTCGTCCACAAATCTGAAGCCAAATACACATCATAGAAAGCAGGGATACAGTAGAGAATAAATAATCCAATATCTAGGTAACATTGATAATTTTTACAACATTCATAAGTTGCTCAGAGTTAAAAACCAATATTTCAGTAAAAACAATTGATTTACCATTAATCATTAAAAATTTGATCTAGTACGTAGCAATTTTAGTGCCAAAATGGAAAAAGAAATTGTAATTATTATATTTCTGTGATACACTTTTTCATTGACCTCTAATAGGCCTCCTTAGTCCTTACATATAATGCTAACAACAATATGTCCCCAATATCTCCAGTATAAAGGCAATCATATAATTACCTTTCAATTAATGGTGAATTTCTTATCCATGTTACTCTTAGAATGGTTTTGGTCCGCTCCAGAACCTGATATATAAATAGATGACCAAAAAAATTATATTTCTCATAATGCAATTATATATTAAACATAAAAAGGCAAGATACAGAGAGACTAAGTAGAAAAAAAGTAGTAAAAAAGAGGAAGATCAATTGAATTTAAAATCTTGAAATAGCAATCAGAAAATTATCCAATTAAATATTGATAATATGCATTTCATAAACCAATATAAAAAACTGGAACTGGGGAAAAATGTTCACATTTTTTAATAAGAAGAAATTGACTAACCAGTAAAACTGTTTCATCATCATCAGCATGCATCCACTTAAAGAAAAGAGGAAAGAGGCGCCTGAAATGGGCAAGCAGTAGGAGACCAAGAATATTGAAAAGTGGCTCAATGTGCGTCAGCCATGCAGTACGGCGCTGCTTATTTCTTGGTTGCCGTTCCAAGTGATTTAACATCTCATTGAGCAGTCTTTCAAACCTACATGAAATATCAATGACAATTGATGAATGAAAGTATACCCATAGCTCAGAGCAAGACACGTATATTTCAATATGTAAAAAAATAAACTCGGATTTTTTCTATTGGTAGGATCCATTCAGAAAGACAATATCACCTTTTAGGCACGTGATGTTGCACAATGCTGGCAGAGTACGAAAAAAGAGCAATCTTTGGTTTATTCAAGTACAACATTAATGTCAGCCCGTTTGGAACTTCTCGAGATATTATAGTTTGGCATAAGTTGTGGCCAGCAAAGCACAGAATGAGGGTTATGTTCTCTGGTAGAGAAGATTAAAAGCATGATTTGGAATCCTAGGCTTAAGAGTTCCATAAACCAAACTGCAACAAATTAAACGTTGTCCAGTTTTGGTAGGCCAGCAAAAAGAATAAAATTTAGGAGGCATTTATTATCCAGCAATCCTCCTGTGATCACAGTGGTTCATAATTCACATGTCACGTGACAATAATTAAACTTGAACAATCATTTTTATAAATATACAATATTCCCAATGTATAGCTACAAAAGGATGAGTAACAAGTCATCATGACATGATTAGTCATCATCCTTAACTTAGAAATATTTCAGGGCATAAACAAAATGTATACAAACATCAATACCATTGACTACGAGGATTATTTCTCTGAGTTGAAGTGACAAGAAGCACTGACATCTCCACCACATAGTGCCATATCTCATCATCTGAAGCGACATTTTGGCAGCAAGCATCAAGGATTACATCTACATAGCTACCAAAATCAGCAGCATTTACAATTTTTCCAAGATGTATAAAGCTAATCATGCCCTGGCCCTGAAAAGGAAATTTACTTATATAGCACAGTGAAATAGTCCACAAAGTGTCATCATGTACGGTACATGGGTTCTATAAACTTCAAAACAGAAGCTTGAATGAATGTAATAAGACGCTAAAATTAGAGTTGAAGACCCATACACACAAATGCACATAGAATCCAGCTTCTGCTAATGCAGTAGAGGATTCGAAAATTTGGTCCTTTGGGGGGGAATGATAATTAAATTTCTCCTTATATTCAGTTACAATTTCATGGTCTACGCAGTCTAAGATTCATTCTACCAATTTAGAGATAGTTCTAAAACTAACAAAAGTATTAATCAGAATGCACGAAGGGGTAAAACATAATCTATAAACTCATATCTGCACAATTGTCCATTCAATTGTACAAAAAAAGACAGGAATAAGGTCCTGCAATAGATTAAGGAAACGTTTGAAGCTTCTTAAGTATGAAATGCAGTCCTTGCAAGAACCTCCTCCTCCACGTTCCCCCAAATATTTTTCTGAACATGGGTTAAAATAGCACAGTTATACCCAGTTCCTTTTTCATCAATTCACTTAACCATCCCTATCATTGATTTTGCACATTACTCCCCAAGATACAATAATATCCAGCACAAATTCAACGTAAAGAAAGATCATTAGGTCAAAACTATGGGAGTGCTTAAAGTAAAAAGCTCAAGGCTTTTTATTGAATCTAGGACTGGGAGTTATAGTTCAAAAATCATGAACTTCGATACAATTCCAAACTCCACCTCCCATCAAAAAAAGACTTATTCCTAATAGATTTGGGTTGGCTACATAAATCCCTTTTCACCATTCCATTTAGTTCATACTACATCACCTAGAATATCGAAAACAACTAGACTCATATCCATGACAATGGACCATGTTAGTTTTGATCAATTCTTCCTTCTAACTTGTTTTACTGAGATTGTCAATCTAATAAATGTAGCCTCTTTAAATCTAAAAAAGACATTGTCCTAACCACCAAAGTTGTCTCTCCCTTAATTTATTCTCATTGAAGCCACATCAAATTGAAATCGTATATTCTCATTTCTTACCCTGTTCATTCTATTATGACCAAAAATCATTCTTATAATCCTCATTTCTGTTATGGTTAACTTACATTTTGTCTTTTAATTGGCATAGAGTTCTCTCAAATTTCTCTTATATAACTGAAATATCTCTAATCTATATGATCATATAAGTCCTCCCTAGACTCTTAATTTTTCAACAAAATTTGCAATACATTGATTTTGGTGTGAATCTTATTTCTCTAGCTTCACCCTTCCAGTGCGATAACTATTGATAATGGAAGTACTTGATGGATGTCACTAATTTTAGAAGAATCAAAGCTGGAGATATGGCACCTAAGATGTAGCAACTAGCAGCAATCCTGGAAAAAGAACTTCGACTTTATACTCTATCAGCTCCAAGTAATTTTAAGAATTTTTTTATTTTTTTTTAAAATAAAATCTATCCAGATCATATTTTCAAATAACTGCGATTTCCCACAGCGTTTTCACAACACAGGTTGTAAAAAGTAACTAAGCGCAGTTCATGGCATAATTATTAGTGCTTTCAGCTTATTTCTGAAAAATTAAGATTGAAATTTGAGCGGAGGTCAATGAAAAGAGAAACAGCGTAACTGCTATACTCGAACAGAACTCAGAACAATTAAATTATGCATAAAAAAGAAAAATCACTTAAATTTTAAGTTCAACACATTTTTAATCAGAAAAAAAAATGAACAACAAAAGAAAGAAAATTAGCAATTCAATACAGTAGTAGTAATAGTTTACAGCTTACCTTGACTTCTTGAGACCAGTGATCAAGAGCTGTCAAAGCACAAGGAACCACCAAAGGACACAACTTCCCCAAAATAAAACAATCCACCTACACAACAATACACAATATCAATGTCTAACACAGACCTTTAACCAATATTTTCACTTTATTAGGCATGGAGGTCTGACATCAATTGCCACTTTGGTCTTGTAAAATAACATTGTAATGCCACCACCAATAAGAACCTGCAAAGAAGGCAAGGAATTCCCTGGGACACTCCGACTCTCAATTAACATATCAAATACACTTCTTTGTTACTATGTTCTATCACTCAATTATATTTATTTACGAGGGGCATGGAATTCTCCTCCCCAATGTTATTTTTCAAGACCGTCTACAGAGATTGATATCAACCCATGTTAGACACAACTCGACAGCACATTCAATAATATGGAAAGCCCAAATGTACCAAACGCAGTGACCTGTGTAACAATCCATCGAAACTGATAGGCTGCGATGATTGCATAAGCCACTGGGGCCTTAGCACTAGCAGCTGAAATTCCATCACCATCATCAGATTCATCTATTGCACTCTCCTTAATCTTATCTTTGAACAAAGGCAAAACTTCTGGCATCAACTCGATCACCAGCCTCTTGTCACTCTCCAAGAACCTCAAATCCAACTCCAATTCACCAATCTTAATTGAATCCTTCACGTTGCTAGAATTACAATAAGCTTTGGCAAAATCTTCCAATGCCGAGAGTGCAGTAAACGAGAGTGAATTCGGAATCCACGAAAGGTGTTCAGTGGAGGAGTTCAAAGCAGAAGCTAGTGACGCACAACATAATACGAAGTCTTTGATGTGGGTTCGGAAATCGGCTTCCGAAATGTTGGGATTTGGTAGGAGATCCTGCAGAGTGGATTTGATGGAGACATTTGGGGAACCTTCTGGCGGATTGTACGGGGTTTTGGAGAGTTTCACTTTAAGGGTTTGTGATAATCTGCAATTGAAGAAGAAGCAACAACAATACGAAGCTGATTACGCAGTCTCACACACAAAGAAACAAACATATTATATGCATACCCATATATAGAGACTTGAGCTCACAACGCCTCCAAATAAAGAGAGACCCCATTACAGAGAGAGAAAAAGAGGTAAAGCTATATGCGCATTCCTCTGTGTGTGTAAAGAGAGAGAACTTACTGGACGAGACGGTGAAGAAGAGCCGAGGAAGACGAATTCGTCATGGTAAACTGGAAGCACTGGGTAAAGGGGACGGGTTAATCAAATAACACTGTGTGCCTCATTTTCAAAATTTACTCTAGTCCAAATTCATTCTCATAACACCTTACAACTATATTGGATATTATCCCTTCTCTCCCGTAACTGCAGTCTGCAGTGAAGGACTCTCGCAACACATGATATTTTACCACCAATAGTTGTGTATAGCACAACTATTTTTAACTAATAAAATAACTTTACACCGGAATATACAATTTTTTCTGTTTTTTAATTATACGTTCTTCAAAAAATTATTTTTCACAAAACATATCTCAAAAAATTTCTACCAAACAAGTAATATACAAGGACAGCAATGGGTATTTTTGTCATCTCATCCCTTCCCCATACTCGATTAAAGGCGGAAAGAAGTGGATTCGGGTCGGAACAGGTTCTCTACCCCATGTATTGCCCCGTTTATTTTATTTTTTTTGCCTTTTTTTTTTTGTATTTTGTAATCGCCCTGATTTGAAAAACTCACCCACCATCGGCGGCCGTGCATGGTGGTACTAGGTGGGTTTGGCGTGAGGATCGTTGTGGTAAATGAAATGTTGGTGGCAATTTTTTTATACGGCGACAACATCGACGATAATGGTGGTCAACGAGGACAACAATACTTTTGGTGGAATGGTGTGGTTAGGGTCTTGGTGTGGAATGGGTATTCAGATTTGGGATAAAGATGTGTTTGAATATAAACGACGGTTTGAGAATTAGCATTGGAATGTTTTAAAAAATGAAATTGGTGTTTAGGGGAATTAATTAATTCGTGCATTGTTGTAATAAACGTTGGGGTAATTAGTCCATAACATTCCCACATTTTATTATTATTGTGGAAAACGTCATTATCTTTTTTTTTTTTTTTTGACATTTTCACTCTTATTTCTACCTTTTATTGCGTAAAAGGTCACTTTCACATATTTTCTTAATTAAAAAATGACAAATATACATTTCTCTTTAAATAAAACAAAAAATAATAATAATAATTGCAATTACAATCCCATTTTTTTAAAAAAGAGCTCATAAGTTACAAATAAATTATAAAAAGGGTAATTAATATATAATGTCCATATCTTTCACCGTTATTGCGAAAAACATCCACACCTTTAATTTTTTTGACATTTTCACCCTTAATTAAACATTTGATTGCGCAAACCATCATTTTTATCAATTTTCATTCAATTTTTCAATAAAAAGTTGTGAAATAATGAAAATAACCTCATATTTAAATAAAAAGCTAAAAATTTTATTACAATCACAGTCCAAAATTTTTTTAAAAAGTGCAAACAAGTCCCCAATAAATTATTTAAAAAAATAATTTTTAAAAAAAAGTGCAAATGAGTCCCAATTAAATTTATTTAAAAAATAAAAATGCAAACGAATCTTAAATAAATTATTAAAGAATTAAAAATTAAAAAAATATTTTTTTAATTTAAAGAGGAGCGTAATATTCATTATTTCACAATTTTTTATTGAAAAATTGGATGACAATGGATGAAAATGATGGTTTGCACAATCAAATGTGCAATTAAGGGTGAAAATACCAAAAAAAATGAAATGTATGGACGTTTTTTGCAATAACGGTGAAAAATAGGGACATTATGTACTTATTATCCTTTTAATAATTTATTTATGACTTATTTGCTCTTTTTAAAAAAAAATTAAGACAAATAATTTTTGCTCAATGAAAGGTGGAAATAAGGGTGAAAATATCAAAAAAGTATTGACATTTTTCACAATAACAGTGCCAAGTGGCTACGTTATATGCTAATTATCCTAAATTTTGTTGCTTCATTTTAAGGAGTATTAATTGGTTGAAACGTCTTTGAGTTGGTATCTTTATGAACAAATTAAGATGAAATTTTAATAATAAAAGGAAAAAAAATCAAAATAACAAATTAAGGTGAAAATTTATCAACAGGATTATTAGAAAACGATTAGCAAACAGATTAGGCTTGCACTCAATATCACTATCTTATCTTGCTTATCCGAGGACTTTTAGTAGTCGAAGTGATGCAATTTGTTGAAATTCCACGGAGAGGACGAACTCTCAAATGATGAAATGTGTTGTAGCACCAGTTCGAAACAAATAGCCTCTAGGCGTATGAGGCACCTTACTAGAAGATCATCTTTACAAGATTTTCTATGATTGATTGATGTAATTTCTCTACAACAATCATTCTATCAAGTCAACTTGTAAGCATACTTTTTCCACGTTAGGCTTAAGTCGTAGGGTGGTTCCTTTTCTAAAGCATTTGACTTCCCCAGACCTAAGAATTGTGGATTGACATCTAGGAAGAGACTCCTTGACCGTTCAAATGAGACCACACTTCTATTCCTTCATAGATTATCATTCCACGTCTTTCTACTATAAAAACTCACATTTAGTGTCATTCAATTTTACATGCTCAATAGTAAGATTGCTCTTTCATTTTTGTTCTCTTATAACCTCCTTGTATTCAACCCCCTTTTTTGTGGCTTATGCCTTTAGGACATCCTACACTCAATTATATCTTTACAAATAGATTGATTTGATCATCGGACTGCTCATGACCGCCTTTCCTACCACTAAAGAAGTTCACGAGCTTTAAAGATTTGTTCAAGTGTGCAAAAAAAAAAAAAAAAAGCGAACGTTAGTGAACCGAGATCTATTAGCCATGTCAACCGTACAAGATTCCATGTCAACATTTATTATTGAATTAATTTAAGTCCTTGTATAACACTTGATAGACATAATGCTAATACATGTTCTTTGCAGCCATATGTGCCTACATTTTAGGCACTACGTGCAAATGTCTATAACAACTTAATATGCTAAACTAGAAAAGACAAATCATTTAATTTATGGAGTTTTGAACTTGAAGTAGAATTGAACATAGTTCGATTCGATTTTAAATAGAATCGAAGTAGATCAGAATTTTGAGTATTTAGTAAGTGGAACTGTTATGTCTAAATTCAATTATAGAACCGAACTAATGACATTAATTGATTTAATTCGGTTCTGTTCGATTCCCTAATTAAATTTTTTAACATTTACAACAACGTTATATCAACTAAACTAATAACATATTCAATCATAACTCTTATAACATTACATTAACTTTTACAAAATAACATAGTCCAAATTAAAAATAAAAATATAACAAATTGTTTAATAAAATCCATTCCTCAATGTATATAAATTACTTTGATCAAAATGGAGAAAATTTAATAAATATGATAGAAAGGAGTAAAATGAAGAGAGACATAGTCGTTCAACTTCAATTATTTGAGAAACGGCAAAATGATTGAAAAACTTGGGCCACTCAATTCTGATATCATGAAGAATAGAACCAAATTGCTCGATTCTGTTCGAAAATTTTGTCCAACCCTAACTTGAAAATACATTTATTGTTTGTTTAGTACTTTTCAAAAAGTTAAAAACTATTTAGACTAAAAAACTACTTTTAAACGCGTTCATAAAAAAATCGATTTTTTTTTTTTTATCAAGCTATAAGAACTACAAAGAAAGGCCAATTCGAAGACTTTTTAGAAGTAATAAAAAGCTTCTGAAACTCAAAAACTAGTTTCTAATTAATTTCTTAGAAGTATTTTTTCTTCGTGGAAGAGCTTTTACATAAAGTTAACCCAATTTAACTTCCTCTAAAAATTATTTTGAAAGAAAAAACTCTTTCTAAAATTAATTTTCAAACACTTAAGTTACCTTTCTCTAAAAAAGATGTTTTACAAAAAGATGGGCCCTTACAAACTTGAAGAGCTGCCATGTTGCTCAGCTCAGATCATCTTAAAATGGTTTGGTGCATATTTTATTAACATCTCCTTGCAATTGTTATCTTGATATACGTATTTTGACCAAGCTAGCTCCCCCCTTAATAAATTCTGAATCATTTGAATGTACAGTGATAAACTAAAGCCATGAGAACTAGATCACCCACCTCCATTGATCTTATATTTGAAGCTAATGAAACCGTATTTACGGACCTCCCCCTCAGATGCATTATCTGGCAAGCAAACGTCAAAACTGGAAATCATTGATAATAATGATTAAAACAGTGACCAGACTGTAAAAATCCTTGATGATAAACAAACATGACCAAAATAGGGAGTAAAAAGAAGGCAAAACAGATCCTTCTAATAGCCACCATTGCTCAAACTCAGTTCCCCTACTTCTTAAGAACACTGCAAGAATGACAGAAAAATGGAAAACAAACGTTACAAACCTCTCAACAGTATTGAAAACGTTACTTGTTCGACACCATCGCACAATTATGCAAAACAATGATCAAGTACTACTTTGAATAGATGTAGGTACGAAGTTCGTTGAACATAAAGTGGCAAAAACAAAGATTTTAGATATCAGGAATGTAAAATATCATCAAATTTTTCAATAAATATACAACACAACTCTGTAATATCATTAGGATTAATTATATCAAGTCACACACTCATATTCCAGAAATACAAAAAGAAATAAATCCCACAATTGAACTACCAAAATAGAATAGGCTACACGCCAAGATAACATAGATATATTTTTTTTTGATAACCGTGGATTTCCGAGCCAGCTTGCGCGCACTTCGACTAATTCCACGGGGCCCTAAAGTTTACCGCCGGTACTCACCTCAGTGGCCCTGAGGGGACTCGAACTGGTGACCATTGGGGAGCAAACCCAAGGCCTGACCAATTGAGCAACCCCTCAGGGTTAAATGACATAGGCTACATGCCAAGATAACATAGATATAAACAAATGACATTTAATAATGCTTGGATGCATATACAGAGTTAGTTTGAGAAAGATGAGTTGGTTCCAACTAGCATTCCATTGGAGAATAGTATTTGTAGGTCCATTGGAATGTGTTGTTGAAAACAAAGATTGATCATTTAAGAATGATTTATGAATTTTGCCAAATAGAGGCTAAGCCCAATTGAGGTTAATATATTCAATCAATTCTGCAACTGAATGGAAATTACATATTTTAAGTTGAATCAGAAATTTTAGTAATATCAGGAAATGCTTAGCTATCTCCACATGGCTGGTAGCAACTTCCAAATCAAAATTTGAAAACGAGGGATAAATTGCAAATTAAAATAAGAGTAATGCTATTCGTAGTCACTCGTTACGATAGTCACCCTACGTGGCATACACATGACAGGTGGTTATTTAATGCATTAATGTGATATTTTTTATACACTCATTACGATAGTCACCCTAATAATTTCTTGTGCATTGCACTGAACACTACCAGTACTCAGCTACAAAAGAGCATACATAACTGCATTTATTTATCAAATTTGTGGCCTCAAAACATGGAAAATTAAATGTCAGTTTATCATATAAAAATCAACAATTATTCTTAAGAACACTGCAAGAATGACGGAAAAATGGAAAACAAACGTTACAAACCTCTCAACAGTATTGAAAACTATTGAAAACGTTACTTGTTCGACACCATCGCACAATTATGCAAAACAATGATCAAGTACTACTTTGAATAGATGTAGGTACGAAGTTCATTGAACATAAAGCGGCAAAAACAAAGATTTTAGATATCAGGAATGTAAAATATCATCAAATTTTTCAGTAAATATAAAACACAACTCCGTACTATCAATAGGATTAATTATATCATGTCACACACTCATATTCCAGAAATACAAAAAGAAATAAATCCCACAATTGAACTACCAAAATAGAATAGGCTACATGCCAAGATAACATAGATATAAACAAATGACATTTAATAATGCTTGGATGCATATACAGAGTTAGTTTGAGAAAGATGAGTTGGTTCCAACTAGCATTCCATTGGAGAATAGTATTTGTAGGTACATTGGAATGTGTTGTTGAAAACAAAGATTGATCATTTATGAATGATTTATGAATTTTGCCAAAATAGAGGCTAAGCCCAATCGGGGTTAATATATTCAATCAATTCTGCAACTGAATGGAAATTACATATTTTAAGTTGAATCAGAAATTTCAGTAATATCAGGAAATGCTTAGCTATGTCCACATGGCTGTTAGCAACTTCCAAATCAAAATTTGAAAATGAGGGATAAATTGCAAATTAAAATAAGAGTAATGCTATTTGTAGTCACTCATTACGATAGTCACCCTACGTACACATGACATGTGGTTATTTAATGCATTAATGTGGTATTTTTTATTGATTCATGTATCAAATAACCACCTATACCACGTAAGGCGACTGTCGCAGTGAGTAAAATAATGGATATAAGTGTCATACACAAAAATAAAAATTATTTGAAGCATCCAACAACTCTTACTTCCCTTCCCACTCTAGAGAAATTGGAAACAATTTTTCAATAATTTCTCAAATCTTTCATTTCCTACTACTGTTAATTCCCCCAAGCCTTAACTATATGATAATGAACACTAGATAATTCACTATCAAAATGTACAAATGGACACTACAATTCATCGAGCTTGTAGGTAAAATTAAAGGCACGAGAATACTCGTATATCGAACCCTAAGAATTTCTTGTGCATTGCACTGAACACTACCAGTACTCAGCTACAAAAGAGCATACATAACTGCATTTATTTATCAAATTTGTGGCCTCAAAACATGGAAAATTAAATGTCAGTTTATCATATAAAAATCAACAATTCAAGGTCAAAGTATCACAATTTTCAAATGCCAATTGGCACATAATTCAATTAGGAAAGAACTAGGGAAATACAGTAAAAAAAGCCCCAACCAACAAGTAAATTTTATCGAATTTTTTTAAAAAAACATACACAGTAAAAAGCAGTCACATTTTCACTTGCATAAAATAAACCAATACCTTCAAATGTTGCTAGGGTACATGAAGACGCGAACTCGGGCTCCCATGGACTTGGGGGGAAGGTTGGATTTGAACTTAGCACGAACAACACCGGAGTTTCCGTGGGGACGAATCACCTTACCCCAAATGCACCTGTAGTGGGTTCCATTTTGCTTAACCTTAGCCTTGTAAATGTACGCCATCCTTTTCCCATGGTACCACGCAACCTCCTCCTTGCTGTTTACTCCCTCGATCTGAATCAAGGACGTGTTTGGGTACTGGTTCGACTTCGACCTCTTGTACCCCAGGATCGTTCCTCTAACGTACAGCCTGCAATCAACCACATAATTAAACAAAAAATATACCGAAAACTGATAAAATTATAGATACATGCAGTTGAGTGCATAGATTAGGTCTGATCGGGTACCTGACGCGCTCTCCTTGGCGACCCTTCACCATTTCTGAATGTTTCTTCCGGGAACGGCGACTGAGTGTAATTGCCGGAGAAGATGAAAACTAAAAACCCTAGTTTGGCCCAGGTGAAGAATAAGGCCATTATATAACACGGGTTGGGCTATTAAGCTCCTTGACTTCGGACCTGGAGCAATACATTTTTTTTCTGGGAAAAATTCATTTCTCCTACTTTATGTTTACCCTATTTCAAAAATAACAAAAAAATATTTCACATTTCAAAAATCAGATATTTTTGACCTATAGATACACATATATATAAATATTTATTTATATATATATAACCACCCTCACCTCCACCACCCCTACGCTCCGACGACCGCTCCGACAATCATTCCAGTGACTTTTCCGGAGACCACTCCGATTTCGGTGGCCGTTCTGGCGACTTCTCGGATTCCGACAATTATTTCGGCGATCGTTCCTGCAACTTCTCCACATGTGACCTTTCAATATTAATTTTTGGTCATAATATTTTTATAGGTCACACGGTCACAGACTACCAAAATAGTTAGTCATGGATTATATTTTTAATCACGGATTATCGAATTTTAAGATCACATATTTATCTTTGCACTATCGCCACAACCATTACCACCTCCTCCACGACAACCACCACAACCAGCATCACCACTACTGTCATTTGCACACCCTTACCCCACCACCACCACCACCACGGGAAACCACCAACACCAAGCAGCCACCGCAAACTACTACCACAAATCACCAAAAACCACAACAAAAAAACACCAATGAACACCGTCGCATCCTACGCCCACAATCGCCTGTTTCAACAACCACCCACCTCCTTCACCTTCATCTGCAACTCCAATCAACTACTACATTACCACCACCATCCACAGCCACCACCCCTCCCCTAAAACCCCCCAAATCTGCAACAATCACCAGCCGCATCGCGAAGACGACGATCTGAGAGAAAAAAGAAAATCGAGAAGAGAAGAGAGAAGAGGAGCTCCACATCAACAATGGGCGGCTGCAGCGAAATCAGACGATGGGCCGAGGGAGAGGAAAGGGAGGCAACGTCGGTCTGCTTCAGCGAGGGGTGAAGAGAGTCGAGAGGAGAGGGAAGCAGCAGGTTGCACTGATAGCGGCGCTGGATTCACCGCTTGTCGTCGAGACGCTCCTCCGATGAAGCGCCTCAACGTCGGAGACGAATGGATGGTTTAGGGTGAAGGCAGCGGTCTATAATGTAGAGAGAGAAAGGAAATAGTGAATTGTAGGGTTTGTGAATTGCGTATANGTAAGGTGGGGTGGGTGGGTATGTAATTTTTATAATATTATTAATATTTAATTAAATATAAAAAACATGTATCTATATATAAAATATCTGATTTTTGAAACTTAAAACATGAAATCTGATTTTAGAATTTGAATCTCCAAATGTAGGGGATGGTGCAATTTCCACTTTCTTTTATATCATTTCAAAAATAAAAAAAATAAGTGCCCAATTTCAAAAATCAGATTTTTTAATATTCTATTTATGAAATAATGAATTATTAAATCAATTTATTATAAAATATTTAATTCTAATATAATATAATTACCCCGCCCACCTCCACCACTCCTATCGCTTCGGGGACTATTTCAGCTACTGTTCCGATCACAACTCTTCTTCGGCGACTATTCCAACGACGGTTCCGACGACTATTCCGATGACTGTTCTGCCACCACTTTATTTCGACAATTGTTCCCATTCCGAGAAATGTTCCAACTCCGACGAATATGTTAAGTCGCAGATCTATACAATTTGGTTACAATTCAAAAAAATTTAGGTCACGATTCAAAATTTTCATAGGTCACAATTTGTTCATCGGTCACAGAGTCACTGATCACAAAATTATAAGTCACATTAATTATTTTATGTATATTTAGGTCATAATTTATTAAATTATTGGTCACAAATTAATAATTTTTAGGTCACACATCATGTATTGGTCATATTTTATCTAATTCAATGGTCACATATTGTTTATTCGTCGCCAACCAACCAAATTATTGGTCACAACACCCACGACATTTGTGACCACCACTTCGCTACTGCGTCCACTACCCTCCCCCACACCACTATTACCACTCTAAAACTACCATCGCCACACGTACAACCAAAACAACGCAGAACATAAAACACCACAGCCACCAACTTCAGATCCTCGATTTCGTAGCGTCCGATCAATCGCCAACACCACGGCTTTGCACAGTTTATGATCACCAGAACACACCCAACCGTACACATAACACACACCCAACCGCACCTCCTCTGCCACCTAAACAGATCTACTCCTCCTAGGACCACCACACCCATCGCTGCACATCCACCAAAAATAGATCTGCTGCACCCACACACCCATCGCAAAAATCGTCATACCCACGCGCACACACCCGACCAACGCAACCGGCGCACTCACGCACACACCCTCAGCTACCACTATATCCTAACATCACAACCACGCGCCACAAAAAAAAAAAAAAAAAAGAA